AAAAATCTCTCAGTCACCACCTAGAGGCCCACAGGGTATTAAGTATTTATTATAATTTCTTTCTAGATGGTTTCTCTACATAGCTCTATTAACATATACTAACACAGTTATCTTATATACAGTGTTTAATCAAGTTATAAAAGTGACATTCTTTCAAAAGGTGCAAAGTTATTAATGTTTTGACACGTCAACTACTGAGGCGAGACCTGCATTGAAAATAAAACTGCTTTTGGAGCGTCAGGAGTCTCATGGCTCCAGCCAAGCAGAGACATGGCAGCAGTGAGGGGAAAGCATCTCCTAAGTGTTGTCAATCAAGAACAATAAATTAGAAGAATGAATTTGGAACTAATCTGAATTTTTACTAAAGACTTTACACTTAAAGGAAGGGGAGAAGGGGGTAAAGACAGAACTAATGAAGTGTTCTTACTTTAGAAATCTTCCCAGTTTCTCCTTAAATCCCATGAAGATTCTATACTGAAGTTTGGATTAAACGTGTTGTTACAAGTTTTTCATGCTTTGACATGACAAGGCTCTAGGTCTCTGAATGTAAATTGTAACTTAGATGAGAGGGATGCTGACCTGTACACTTCTTTTCAAGAACAGAGTATTTCTTTAGCAATTACTCTATAGTGTTTCCATTCAGGCATTTTCTATTCATATGCATTGTTTTAAAAACACAACTCCAGCATTAAACAGATTATTTAGTTTAAGCAAGTTTTAAACTCCCATGAGATGTTAAACTGGCTTAACACACGAATCCTGTCCACCCTCACTTAACAAAGGGTTCCCTGTGCTGCTTGCAGAGAGTTTGGGAAACGGATTATGGTGCCTGGCACACTCATTAAAGTCCAATTTTTTATAAAAAGTATTTTTATGCTGTCCCACGTGGATCAGCAGTGTCTTTTTAAAAGCCAAGTGTCCATGCACTCCCTAGGAACAAAGACACCCCTAGAGCCTGTGCCGCGGTACCACGTCTGCCCTGTGGGGCCTCAAGACTTGCAAGCAATACCAAGCACGATTTTGGGCACCAGAACAAAGTTGCCCTGAGCACGTTCCAGGCTCTTACTCACTTCCTTGAAGTTTTACAGCTTCTCTTATTTTTACAACGTAGGCGACAACTAAATTTCCCCAAAATTTTAAATTAATCCGATCATTAGGTACACGATTTGATATAAAAATGTTTCTCCCAGGAGTATATTAATTTACTTTTGCTTTTTAATCCTGTGGCTGGGAGAGAAGTGCTTCCAAAAAATCTGTTCTCTGGATGAAACCACAGATGTTTTGGACAAGAGTCAGACCAGCTCTTCCACGAACTCCTCAAGTTTCTGGTGCTTAACACCAGCAATTTCTGCATTCCTGTAAATTCATGGCAGCACAGCCACTCTCCATTTTTGCCTGGTTACTCTCAGTTAAAATCTTTCATAAAAGAAGAATCAACACTAGGATTAATTACTGGACCTAATTTTTCAAGCCTCTCTCCCCCTTTACCCCCCAGAAGTGTAGCACTTGAAAGAAAATTAATGTGTCGGTTCAACAATTGATTATTTCCAGTATTATATGGCTTTGATGGTTTGATAAGGAATAAAAATAAAATCCCACTTTTTGACATCACATGCTCACAGAAAACTTGTAATAGGCTCTGCCAAAGCTTTAAATGGATTCTGCTTTTTCACAACATACAAAACAGACGTGACCTAATAATGAAAGACATGCAAACCAAAACCTGCCCAAAGGATGAACCTGTGTGGAGATAGATACCAAAGTGCTTCCAAATCAAAGGTTAGTCTAGGAGCATACACAGTGCCAAAGCTGCCAAAGGTAGTGCAGAAGATTTGAGCCTCCGAGTGGTAGCAAGCAGTATATTTTACATTGTAACCACCCCTACAGTCCTGCAGTTACTTCTGAAACTTTTCCTATTTTAAGTACAGCGTTTGACTTCAGGAAAAGCACTTTCTGAAGCACCCTCCCCTTCTCCTAACGTATGCTGGCTGTATGTAATTGTATCACAGGTACACAGTTTAATGCTCACAGTGTCCAAAAGTTGTGAAGACTCTGTAACAGACAACTACAGTTTGAGAAGCTCAGGTTGGTTTCTGTTCCCCACCCCCAAAAGTCTCTCAGTTGCTGAATTGTATTCAGAGAGGGGGGCCAGGAGCTCTGGTCCCCACGTAGTGCTACATACCATAGGGAAGTTCACAAGCATCTCTTCACGGGAGTATCAACAGTATTAAACTGGATCCTGGTGGTACCATTTTAGCTTTTCATCCCTGCTTTGAGTTCCAAAAACTTCAGGTTCTTCACTATTGTACTAAGTAACAAGGATATTATCTCTATTTTATTTAAGTTACCTAGTTTTCAAGGATGTTATGTGCTCTACCAGATACAGCGTATCTTCCTGACAAAGAAACTAGGGAAAAAAACCTGAAGAACCAAAGGCCCCTTTGAAAAATTAGTGAAAATATGATGATTTCGGGTGCAGCTTTATGGAAAGAATGCAACAGCATTTAAATATTTGGCAATCCGACGTTAGTGATAATTAAATCCTTGATTGTTGACCAATAGAATTTTTGTTAAAATTTACTTAGAAAAGCTGGTTTTTGCTATCAACAAAACCAGAATAACTGGCTTGGAATGAAATCTAGTAACTAGATGTCCAGATGAGATGAGCGGGTGGTTCGGGCATTTCAGTATATGTCTGGACAGTCTGAGAAATTTCTGTCAAAATAGCCACCTGAGTACAGCCAATCTGAAGTCCCCGTGTATGGATTCGTGCCTTGATGAAACCATCTGTAAGAAAAAGAAAAAGGAAAGAAACAGTAAAATAAAAAAGCAAATAGAGTAAGCAGTTAAGGGGGGGGGGGGAAACAACTTCTTTCACAAAACATTGTAAAAACATACTTTTATCAGCAAAGAATTTTCAGGAAATATTCTCAACATGAAAAAATTATGGCATTAAACTTCCTACACAATTATCACCACTTTGTAAATCAGCTGGGGTTTTAGATTTATTTTTAATTATTATTTTTTTAAAATAAAGTCAAGAAAGAGCATGGAATGGATTTTAAAATTGCTGCCCTATTCCACATAAAAGTAACACTGACAGTGTAGATTCTATATACTCATTTTTACTTTAAAAGAATGCCAAATCAGTTACACAATCCTTCTGTAAACCTCTCCAAACAGGAAACAGTTGGGTCCTAGGAGCTGTGCTCTGCACAGATCATGAACAGATGCTCACTTTTCAGCCACGATGCCTGAAAACAATTTTATGTTCTCTGCAAGAGACTTTCAAAGGCATTAACTGGAATTAGTTTGTAGGTGCTGCACCAGGAGAAAATGCTTTCTCTTCTGAATTCCATGAAATCATGGGAGCATCCCAACATCCCTGCCTTTGAAGGAAGCACCTGCAGCAACCAGCCATGAGTGTAGACTTGACTGCCCAGCGCTGGCTGCTGTGAAAAGCAACACTGGGAGCAGCAGCCAAATCACACATCACTCCGCAGTGCATTCTAGGACTGAGAAGTGGCTTCAATATGCAATCAAAAAAAGAGATTTCTAAAATATGCAAGCCAAGAAGTCCTAAGGTTGTGAAAATGAAAGGCCCCAGTGGGCCACAACCTCTTACTCAACTGCCAAAACCTGGACAGGAATTGGTCAACGAAGAGAAGGGATTTAATGCTTTATTCAAACAAAAATATGAGCTCCGTAAATGTTAAAAATCAAAACAAAAAAATTCAGCATTACCACATTAGTTAATTATGGCAGGTTTCAACATTTATTATTGGGTCATTTCCCCAGGACAAAGTTATCAGCAATTTTGGCTTCCAGCTACATTATCTTGACCCAGCAAATGCTTGAAGTGACATTACAAGTTGTGCTGTCACGTAGGACATCAAACCCACCACCCTGAATAAACCCATTTCAAGCAGCCCACCACACCAGTGCCCAGGCTCCTGCCCCTCACCGTGTGTGCCACTCCACCTCGTCCCTCGCACGCTCCTTGCGAGCAGCTCTCTGCTTCTCTTCTAGTCTCTCTTTTTCTCTGCTGGCCACATCTAACGAACATGTCAAGAGAAATGGTCATTAGCCAAACAGGAACAAAAATGCAGACACGACAGAAAAGACTGCAGAGAAATGAAACGCAGTTGACTTAGGTGAGAGAAAGTGCTTGCTGTACACAATCCCATCGAACAATAAACATCTCAGGCAACAAAAAACTAAACCCGTCATTTCAGAAAAGCTGCTGCCTACAAACAGAGTCAAAGCTGAAATTTTGGTGGTTTATCTACCAGAAACACTGAGACGGCAGGACAGAACCTGGATTAGGCATAATAGAGAGAGTGATTTTTCCACTATTTGGCCATCTGTTTTTTTCTGACAAATGCCAGAGCAACAGAGCATGTCTGCTCACCACATGTCTTTCCAGACCCACTCCAGAGCAAGAGAATATTCCTGCTCATTCTCCCAGCTAACATGCAAAGGCACCATAACAGAGGAGAGCAGTCTTGGGATCCACCCTGGGCACATCTGCTCCCCCAGACTTTTCTGGGAGAAAACAGGCATCATACATTGTTCAAAAGCATGTTCATTAACACAGGATGAAAAAGAGCTAAAGCTGCTCTGGAAGCAGGAAACCGAAGACAGTGTCCCTGTATGAACCAACCTCCCTTCAGTGCTCCCTCTCCAAACTTACTCCTGGGACAATATTTCCTCCAAACACATACCCATGTTTCCATTTTCCATGTTTCTGATATCTGGACGCAGCCGACAGTCGGTGGGAGCTAGGATTGCTTCCATGCCCTTTTCCAGCTCATTGAGACTCACAGCAAAACTGGTGAAATTGTACATCTTAAAATCAAACGAAAGACAACATACAAGTTACTTGGGCAAAGTGGCACTGGGTTCCCAATACTGAAGGAATGCAACAGGACTTCCAAGAGAAATAAATTACTGAGTCGAACCTCCTCCCACTAGCTACCCTGAAAATAAGGTTAGGTTCATACAAAACTAGGGGTATTTTTGGAGGAGATGGAGAAGGAAGAGGAGAATGGGATGGAAATCACAGTAGTCTTTTTTAAGCCATCTTTGTTTCAGAGGAACAAGACAGATGTTCCTCCATACCTGAAACTTAACATCATGATTATTACAAACAACACCCATACCTAAAAGACCACAAAGTCTTGTTGAAAGTTAATACCTAGCTGCCCAATGCCTGCATTTTTTTGGAAGCCTGTCTTCTAACAGCCGTGTCAGCAGAAGGGAACATGTATCCAAATTTTAGCCACTCTCAGTGCAGAGATCTCTCAGACAGGTCAACCCAAGACTCCAGACTCACACTGGAGCAGGACACATCCTCTCTGCCAGCCTCCACACAGCAGTGATGCTTTCAGCACAGGAACCAAGCAGGCAGCTCGCTGCACTGTAACCTCACTGCTGCACCAAGAACTGCCACAGCCTGTCCCTGTGTGCTGAGGACAGACACTTCAACTCATGCTCCTGTGGGTGAGTCACTAGCGACAGCAACGCACAGACCGACTCAAACAAGTACCTGTGATGAGTTGGGTGGCCTACAATTTATCCTCCAGAGCAGCTTACTGCCTGGTATGAACTGCACCGTGTCGTGAACCTCTGGCATATCATCAGCCTCATCGTTTTCAGATTTAATAACATCTTCACTCTGAAACAGAAATAAAATGTGGCAGAGGAACAAAAGGAAAATCAGACAGTTTCACCTAGAGTTCTACAGTGACTGAAGAACCTGTTGATGTTTGGGATACTAAATACTCACCTGTTCTTCTGCCTCACACCTCACCCTATTTGCTTTCCCCACTCTTTATACCCTTCCTCTAGTATTTATCCTAATGCCTTGCTCCTTCCATCTCCAAATAGTCTCCCACCACCTATGTACAACTTGAAAGTCTGCTCAAAAAAAATCACTAATAGTAAATTAACACCTATCCAAAGTCTTTCCTCCAGCTTCCCTTCTATCCCATGCCACAGCCTAATTTCACCTAACATGAATATTACTACTTCAGGTTGAAATGAGCTGAGACTGCAGTTTAAACCAGTTCCCACAACAGCCTAAAAATATAAAAAGGGCATGCCTGCTTTTGGATAAAGCTTCATCATTTGCAGAAGATTTGGATGTGCAATTAAAAATCATATATGCCTCTGTTTCTGAGTTCCTATTATCTAGATTCTGGTAACTATTATTGGTGCCCATTTTCTCACTAGAGAGACTTTGTACTGGAATTTATAAACACAGTGTCTTCCCTTCCAAGCTCCGTTGTTACAAGATGCACTGTTGTAACATGTATATAAAAATCAAGCAAAATTCTTCAAGAGGCTGCTCTCAGAATCTGAAACAATTTGGCTGTCACAGGACACAAACAGCTACACAGTGGATTTCCAGAGGGTTTCACCACCAGAAACCATTTAAAACCATTAACAACCAGAAAGGAAGTCTGAGGCAATAACATCCTAGAGAGACAGTCTTCCTTCCTCTCCTCACTCTCACACACTTTCTATTTTCTTTCTGCCCCCTCTGACAAGGCCCATTTATTTTATTCAAAAATACCCTCTTAACTTAAACAGGGCCTGTTTCATACACTAGAAAACAGCTCCATATGGTTAAGAATCTAATTTCAATCATTTGGTTTGAGAATTCATTACTTAAAAAGACTCTTTTAGGCTACTTTCCATGTCAACATCTGGTTTACTGTTAGACAGTCCCCCATCTAAATATAGATTTAACAGGAAGGAAGAGAAGAAAGAGTTGATTTTCATAAGATGAACAGAACCTTATTATTTAAAAAATAAAGTCAAAACATAACCCTGTACCCTGACAGAATCCAGAGCCGGAAGCAAGGCCTGCTGCTGCTCTAGATTCTGATGATGTGAATACTTTAGAAAACAAGTTTGAGCCTCTTAACATGAAGAGTGATTAGCTTCTGTTCAACTCGACCATTTTCAATGGGCAACCAGGGTCTGCAAGACTTTGTTGGTATCAGGAAACCTGAGAGTCCTCTGTACCATAGAGCACTTTGTATTTTCCATAAAACACTGAGCCTTTGGTGGTAATTCACCTGACACTGCTTAGATGGGATGAAAACACCTTGCCTGTTTCCAGACCCCTTTGTTCTCAAGGCTGTTTACATCATAAATTCTGAAAGGCTGTATCACCAAAAAGCACAACTGACTTAAAAGCCATGTTGTTACTTTCTTTTCTAAAGCTTCCTAGTCTTTTTACATCTGGAGTTGGCAGCAGAGCCACTTTCCTCATTCAAGGACTGGACAATATCAGCTTGGGGGTTGGTATTTGGTGACTTCTCTTTGACAAATCTCCAGCAAATGCCATTTCTGTGAGCTCTCTTCAATCCTAGCAGCTCACAGGGAAGTCTACACAAGTTCAAAGTGCAATGCCTTCTCACAGGACTAAGGTGGCCCATCTCTGACTCTCACCAGACTTTTAACCCTCCATTCACCACCAGCTGACCACTTCCATAAAGATGTTTTCCTTTCATTTCTCACATTTCACTCTCTTTTCTCCCTAAAGACTCCATAACCTTACCGGCTTCGATTTCTTCTGCTCACCACCCCTCTTTTCATTCTTTTTGTAAGTCTCATATGTCGTGGGATCAGTGCACCATAAGCACTCAGTCCACTTGCCATAGATCACACACAGCTTCTTCCTGCTGCAGAGAAAGCACAGGAGACTTAGCTTTTGCTTCTTGCAAAGCCTTCTAAGCCAAATCGTGTCGATTCGGATCTATATTAAATACTCAGCTTCCTACTTTGTTATATTTTAGGTTTCTTTGCTGATTGCTTAGAAGCCAGATACTTGACAATGCAAAGAAAAGGCTTCAGTTCATTCCAGTCTTTCTGGCACTCAGCCCTGCAGAACACATCCTCATGACTCACTCACAGGCTTTTGCCACAGCTAAAATGAGGGTGGGTGCAATAAAGCCAACAGTTTACAGTATATAGACTCAGAGTCACAAATTCATGTTTGGGTTTCAATAAAACTTTCTCATAACCATATTCTCATTAATTTAAACTGAAGCCTGGAACTGTAACTGTACAACAGTGAAATCAGTTGTGACTGTTCTGTATTCTCCCTGGACACCTTTATTGCCAAAGACTGGACTGGAGATTTTTTCCTAATAACTCTTGATCCAAGGGGTTTAATACTGACACAGAGAACGTTAGCAATGCACATTGTGACCTGCTTCTAACGTTGCAGTCACATCAGTTGTGGTCACTGTGCCAGCACTAAAGAAATGCCACAGTGCTCAGAAACAGAGAGGCCAAGGGGCTTTTATACTTACTTCTTGTCCTGAATGTATCCCTCTACTCTGTGAAGCTCTTTCCCAAACAGTCCACACGGTTTAAAATTAAGGACACATTTATCTCCAGTACTGTAGAGGAAATAAGTACATGCTTAAAGAAACAAGCCCTGAATACTTTAATAAGTTTACTTTTTTACCTTATTTGAGCTTTTTTCATACAGTCAGTTAGCTGGGGGGTAGTTATTGATATAATTGTTTTTAACTGTGGTTTATTATCTGATCAGGGAATTAAGAAAGGCACATACATTTCAAAATTCCACAAAAGGGATAAAAATAAATCAGTGTGCACGTGAAGACACCAGCCTGTGAAAGGCAACTGAAAACATGGCTGTACTTCTGAGTTTCACGTGTATCTAAGATTTATCAGAAGCACTAGGAATAAAACAGAATGCAATCTTGCATACTACTTAACCCACACTATTAACACACCACATTTCAGATTAATATCTATTTACAGCTAATTGTAATGAGAAATAACAGTTACAAATTACCTATGTAGGCAGTTGGCAGAGCAATCAATGTGCCCTAAGTTCACACCACCCTACTCTGCAGTCATTTTTCTGTGCTGCACCCTGAAGTTAAGACATTCTCCATTATCAAAGCTAAAAAGAGTGCCAAATCCAGTGTGCTGCAGGTCCACTGCCAGCCTCCTACATTCCATTTCATGGTTCTGGAGTTAAATGTAATTTCTGTTCTCTGTCCCCAGGTTTGAATTTAAATGGGCAACTCGCCAGTGTAAAATCTTTGTATCCCATAAACCCTCCAGCCCTGTGCCTTTTCGTTACTATTACTGTGATACCAAGCACAGTCCAAAGAATTGAATCTCAGAATTGTTTGGGTTGAAAAAGACCATCAAGATCCTCAGTTCCAACCGTTCCCCAGCACTGCCAGGTCCCCACTGCCCCCTGTCCCTCACACCACATCTCCACGGCTTGGGAACCCCTCCAGGGGTGGGGACTCCACCACTGCCCTGGGCAGCCTGGCACAGCCCTGGGCAACCCTCAGGGGCAAGAAATTGTTCCTCAGGGACAACCTCAACCTCCCCTGGGGCAAGTTGAGTCAGTTTCCTCTAGTCCTATGGCTTGTTCCTTGGGAGAAGACACAGACCCCCACCTGGCTCCAACCTCCTTTCACGGAGTTGCTGAGAGCAAGAAAGTCCCCCCTGAGCCTCCTTTGCTCCAGGCTCAACAACCCCAGGTCCCTCAGCTTCTCCTGTAAGACTTTTTCTCTAGACCCAAAAATAGTTTGCATTTGTAAGAGAGGGAAAAAAAAAAAAACAAAAAAACCCAACAACAAACAAGACCCACAACCCAAAACAAAACTAAAAAAAGTCAAGACTTTGGACCTACAAAACAGTTTCCTGTGTCTCTGACAAAAATCAAAACTCTTTGCTTCCTAACAGGTGATCACACAGCAGTCCCTGTAAGCCAACCCTCAGCTCCATGATGAACATTACCTGTGATTTACAATTTCTACTGTTCCATATTGTTCTAACCACAGTTTACCAATAATTACATTATGTACACAACACGTTGGGTTTGTCCATGTGTAAGCTTCATTATGTCTGTAAAGAAAACAAGAGAAATAAATCATTTTCTTGGGTTTTGAGATGGAATGCAAACCTGTTTTCAATTCTGCTCCTGGCAAGGGCAGAATATTTAGCACTCCTATGAACAGCTGGCACTTAACTTCAAACCAGAAAAGAAACAGACTTTTCTTTATAAGCCAAGAATGTGTTGTATCTAAACATTAGTAATAAAGTTAAATACTAAATTAATAAGTTAAATAATAAACAAAATAAAACCCCTTTATTCTTCTTCCTCCTCAGAGAGCTGAAATACTGTTTTACAGCTTCTGTGCTCTTAATTACAGATAAATAAAAACAAAAGCACTGAACAGAAATGTTTGAGTCTTCTAGCAGAGAGGTTATTCACCAGCAGCTGACAAAGCTCTGGTGTGAAGACACTCCTCCTCGAGGGCTGGTCAGACTAACCCACTTCAACAGTTTCTCCTTTTAGAAACACTGAGTGGTAAAGGCTTCTGAACCTCAGGAGTGACCCAAGTCAGCAAAGTGCACAAGTGGTTTCCACAAATACACCACAAGTCTCCTACCACCGTCCACGAGGCCAGTGCCAGGGTCACTGAAGGCAGCTCTGGGAGGGTGTGGTTTTGGGGATTTTTTGGTTGTTTGTTTAACATTGGTGGGTCACATAGCACTCTATTCAAGCTCCATAAACATGACATTTAACAACCCAATTTATTACTCAGTTCCATCCTTTCCCTAGACATTTCTGAGAAGAAGGGAAAGTCCTAGAGTTTAAGAACTTTCCACTTTAATTTCATTTTGGTTTTAATATTTTGGGAAAAGCTTTACAAAGATGAGTTAACAGATTCTACATCCTTAAAAGACATTATTCTAAGAGTGGTCAAAAGGCTCAACAACAGGATTCCTATTTTCACTAGCTCAGCAGAGTCAAAGCCATCTATTCTCACTCATCTTCCCATGCTGGTAAAGAAAATGCAGAAGTTATCTGCTCAGCAACCAATCCACCTTAGGAAAGCTTGCAAATTGTATTTTAATACAAAAAATACAAAGAGGACACTGCTTGGTTTTGTGACAAACAACTTGTACTTCTGCTGCAGTAAGTATGGAGAGAAGACTCCTATTTAATGTTTCAAACCAGTCTCTTATTTCCCAGTACAGAGAAAAAACAGATCATTGAAGTCTGAGTGTTGCCACAGCAAGTGGTCTTCAAACATACTTTAGAACAATGACTACTCTTCAAGTGGGGAAAAAAATACCAGAACCCCCCAAATTCATCCCACCAGCTTTAGCAGATGTTTTTATTCATGAATTACTTGACTCTAAAAGCTGTGACACAGAACACAAGACACAGCCAGTGCTGATAAACTGAAGCCCTTACTCCTGCTGGAGAAGTGTGTTTTCTAATGCACGTTCTGAAAACATGGTCGTGGTTAACAGCAATGCAGCACTTAACACTGACTTGCAATTTTGCTTCCTGAACAGTTACTTGTTACCCTGAGCACTTCTTGGGCTCCTCAACCCAATAGAATGGTATGAATCACACCCCTGAGAGCCTCCAAGTTTGATTACAACCTCCACTGCTAATTTAAACAATTATTTTTCAAAAGTGCTTTAATCATTTAAATTCCAGTTTAAATGTGTGCCCAGTAATTGGATTAGGCAAAGCAAGAATTTTAATAGTCTACTAAATACAGGCTCTCTCTCAATCAACAAACATCATTCTTGTCACTTCTATATTCTAAACTACCATTCACAGTTCCTTCTACATTTAGAAGAAATTTCCTCTATTTTCATCACCATTTATATTCAAGATCAGTTCATACTTTTATAAGCTTTGGAAGATTAGATACCAGCAGCTGGACAAATAAACTATATCTTCAAAAGAAACTCCTTTTTCTGCAACTGTTACCTAGTGCATCCTTGAGTCCTGCCTGGGAAAGCTCAGGAGTCTGTGCCACCAGGGCATAACCAGCTTATGGAGAGTCACATAATTTGTGAGAGACACACACAATTAGAGACAACCTGGGAGTCATCTGGAGGAGGGAGTAATCCTCATTTAAACAGGGAGGTGATCACACACAGGAGGTGTTAAACAGGCAATCCTGACAAGTTCCTCACCTTCCCTCACCACGCACAACAACTATTCTGAAGATGCAGTTCTTTCCATACAAACAGATATGCACAAGCAATTAAACCCAACAATATTTTAAAGCAATATTTAATTGAATATTATTCTTCTCTTTAAATTGTACATTCCTTCCCAGAACTAGCTTTCAGCAGCATTCCATTTTTAAGAAATATTAATTTTCATAGTGGAAAAACTGGGCCAGATGGTTACAGCTATGCAAGCATGAAATTAATCCATGAAAACTACCTTCTAAAAAAACTCTTACAACCTCTCCAGCAAGAAGGTTTTAGATAACCACCTATAAAGAGCCAACAGGATGATTATCACCTATCTTTTTATTCAAGTAAATGTTAAGGAGATCAACATAAAAAAAGGTATTCACTTCTCATACTCACTTCAGAAGCTCCAAGGTTATTGTTCCCCGAGGCTCTGCTTCTATACTCTTTATTTAGTTTGGGGTAGATTGATCCATGGAAAATAAAGTCCTTATTGAGGCCTTCAGAATAAAATGCACTAATAGGTGGGTGGTGGCTGACTTGCTCAGATATAAACCTAAAACCTAAATCCTCCCTAGCAACAACAAAAAAGAGCATTAAACAGTAATTCTTAAAAAGAAGTTTTACAAGATAAAAGAGGTACTTGATACTTTAACAAATTTTGAAGGATTTTTAGATTAAATTGAAGGTGAGATTTCCTTTCATAGTCCCATAACACATTTACAATTAATGAAATGAAAGAATTTGTACTCTGAACGCTTTCTCTTTATGCCCAAACCCACATTCAAACACCTAAATGACTTTCTGCCCAGAAAGGCACCTACACAAGTTTCATTGAAGTAACCCATGAAAATACTGGAACTCTGAAAATTCCTTTCTCCTCTGCAGACATATCTGACATGATCAACAAAGCACTATTTAAATTAATTAATGTCTTTGGTGGAAGAGCATGGACCAGTTTTTCTCTAAATAATTCAAAGAATACTCTTCTTAAACCTAAAAATAAAATTATTAGCTTTTATAACAACTGCTTAAAGATTTTGAAATAGTTTGTGGAAACAAATTTTAGCTATACTCAGAAAAGAGATTTTAGATTTCTGTTTCATTGAGTAAACAACCAAACTAGTATGAGAATCTGTTAACTTAAGAGCACAAATAACCCCAGCTCCAAATGTAAAGTAATTATTACCTGGTTAATTCATAGGTTTCTCCTAAGAGTGGGTTAAATGGTTTGCCAGTTCTCTCCCACTGAGAAGCTACAGCAGAAACTGCAAAGGCAGCTACAGCCTACAAGCAAATTAAGAACACATTGTTAAGCGAACAGTACATGAAAACTCTAAGTTCAATATATTTGTTGCATATTACAGTATTTCATTATTCTTCCAAAAAGAAAGTGCTACATATTGCTCAAGGCCAAAACACTCGTAAACAACAGGGCACATGATATAGAAGTGGGGAAATATAAGCACTTAGGAAGCTCACTTCCAAAAGGAATTACTTTCTGTAGTAAATGTTGTCAGGTTACACTCTGCCCTGTGCTTCCACACCTACCTCTACGAGGAAAGCCTGTTTTTAAAATCTGCTCTCCCCCTCTTTTGACTGCCACCCACACTCAGCTCCTTGGGAACAGAGTCTTGAATTTCCTAGTGCCAGGCAAGCATTATTTCTAACAGATGAGATTTCTTGAATCATACCAGCAGGCACAAGTGACACTTGGAAGCCCCTGCAGGCTGTAAGTAGGAGTAGGAACTACTCCAATACAGAATAAAAGACACACATTCCAGTTTCTGTAAAAACAGAGCTATCAGCAAAATCAGTATAATCTCATGTACATTGGCCTGGTTTCACCTTATTCTGTTCCCTGTTAGAAGACCAGCCAGGTGCTATATTCTAAAAATCAGTTTTGGAGAAGAATAGTAAAATTTGCCTCTGCCACAACCGTTTTTCATCCATTAACTTCAAAATCATGAACCACTCAACAAATCCATTTAGGGCGACTTAAAACCCAAAATTTCATCTTCACAACACATAAAACCACAGAGTCATGGTTAGTCCTGGAAAGGGTTGAGGTCCTTGGTCATTGTCAGACGTGGCACTCTCCTGCACTACACTTTTGGTTCAAACTGTTCTCAGCATCTAGTGTGAAAGTGTCACAAATATCTGATACAGCCACTATGAAACAAGAAACTTATCAAGACAGACAAATATGGGTGTTCTTATGATAGCCCCAGAGAAATAAACACAGTCAAGTGAGAAATTATCTTAAAATGAAAGGCTCTGGGGGAGAAAAACTTCTGAATGAACCAGAAGCTGGCAGCTGCTACTTACCTGCATTCTTTCCAGGGGATCTGTATGACTACAAGCCTTATTAATGAGGTATATATGTTCCATATATTCTGTTATCCGTTGAAGGAAACTCAATGGCTCGTTGAAGACAATAGGCATTGTAATCTTAGACAGCTCCTAGGTATCAAAAGGGTAAGTTAATTTCTTGGAAACTAACAACTGACAACAAGTATTTCGAAAGTAAGTTGTGGGTTAGTTTATTTATAGCATTCTTCAGAAGAGATTTGGCAAGCCTATAGTAGACTTCTGAGCAACAGCTGAAAGGGGCTGGACAGCCACAGAACCCTACTAACCATCTGAGAGGATAAACAACTTCAAAACTCAATCCAGATAATCTAGCAAATTGAAGAAAAATGTTACCTTCTATTCTGTTGTCTACACAAACCAGAAGAGATGAAAATTGCCATAGATAACAGCAATAATGTGCCAACCAGCTCATTACTGATATTTTAAGTACCACACAATCCTTTGAAACCCTCACATACCTATTTGCATAAAATCTATCTTACTGCAGTAACCACAAATTATTTTTTGAAAGAAACAGTTACATAAAGAATAGGATTTGAACTGCTCTAACAAATTGTAGTGCCTTTATTTAAGCAACCTGTTATTTGCTTCAGAATGTTTCTCATTTCACATGTGGAGTCAAGACAGACATGAAATTCCCATGGGGGTTTCCAGTTCCCCAAGTCTTTTACTACATCCAAGAAAATTTAGCTGTTTAGTTAAAAAGTTGCACTCATGACTGAGCACTAACATCACTGAAATGCTTAAAACTTAGAGGAGAGGAAGTTTAAGATGATGTTCCCTATAGGAAAAAAAAAATGCAAAATGCACCAGGTATTATTCTGTGTCTTAAAGTTTAAGCAAAAAAAAATTAATCAGTTGAAGTTAGGAGACCTAATATCAGCAAGTTTCATCCAAGCTAACTTACCAGTCCAATGCATTTTTTTAATATGCTCCACACACTAAAATCACTTCTAGAAAACATAGGGGCAGGTAATGATGTCCTGTAATTGGGAAAAAAAACAAAACAACTGTTATTATCAGCCCCTTAAACAGCAAAACATTTTCAGTTGTAGGTATTGAAGCAATTAATAAAGGAAGCAAAGCATTAACCCCAAGGTGACACAGAAAGCAGACAAGTGAAATGTCATTTCAGTTCCAGCAAGAACAGTGCTGGCCCAGAAGAGGATGAGCCAGCACGTGCTCACTCCTCATGCACTAGGTAGTCCTCTGAGCTTACCTGTGCCTCTTAATTCCATTTTCTTGAATCTCTGTCTCTCCGTTATGCTTTCCAGTCCTGTTGCTTTGGTGTGGATCCAGATCAAGCATTTCTGCAACCTTATGATTTGCTTCTGAAAAGTCTCCTGAAGAATTGTCAGAATCAAAGCCTGCATAAAAACCACAAGGCAACAGTTTTCTTAGGAAACTTCATTATGACACCGAGTGTCACTCACATTTTGTAACTCTCACAGCATAAGTACACTTATATCAGGTTATTATATTTTAAAGAATATCAGAGTGAAAACCTTTTATTAAGTGACCTCATTTCCAAGAGTATTTAGAGCCAAGTATTGCATTAGAATGAAACATTCTCAATGAATTTTTCGTGCTGCTGAATATAAAACCATTTTTGAATCTTACAAGTTCTTTAGCAACTCCTAATCAGATTAGCTGTATTGCCTCTTCTTCAGAGCTGCAGTGATTACAATAATTTTGTTCAGTTACGTAGTTTTCCTCAAAGTGCTTAAAAGGAAAAATTAATGTACTCTACTTGTACTGCTAACAGGCAAGGAGAGAGAAAAAAAAAAAGTAGGAAACCTCCAGACTACTGAACATCCAGAGCAACAGAAATGTGGAGTATCTAACTTCTTTTTGCCATCCTTGTGTGCAAACCACATAACACTTGCCTAAGGGTTGCAGCAAGAACCTGTGGACACCAAGATGAATCATTCCCCAAGCTGCAGAAGTGACCCTAAGCATGACTTACAGTAGGTGGCTCCATTTCCTATGGCCCAACTCCAGCCAGCTGGGCAGACAGCTACTGGAAACACCATTCTAACTAAATCCCAGCACCCTCAGTAACAACGTGCTTTGAAGTTAAACCAACAGGGATCTACAGGAACACAAGCTTCTATAACCAAGAAGCCCTAGTACAAGTTAGACTAAACCAACAATCCAAGGTTTTAATCTAATAATTTATTTTTTTTTAAGTTACACTACTTCCCACACAGGCTTAGAATAATGGCAACTCATTTTTGTATACACCTTTAAATAAGAAATTATCAAATCATGATTAATTAATACAACCCCCTTCACAACCATCATGGTGTCACAACAGAAAGCACTGCTGACCATTCAATGTGAAAAAGGAACATTTTTGCTGAAAATAATTCAAAGAGCATTAAGTCCTTTCTGAGTGCCCCAAGGGTCAATTCTTCATCATTCACATTAGTTTCCAGATTCCAATTTAAAAGTCAGAATCCAAAAGCAACCTGAAAATGTGTATTTGCTAGCATACAATTCTTGCCACAGCTTTAAGGCATACACTAACATCATTTTTGTGTTCCTTTCATTCCAGCTATCACAACCACTTGCCTATGTGCTGCCAGGTACCATCGCTCAGCTACAGCCTGCCCTGAAGTCCAGCTGTGGCTACAGAAAGATTCCAAAATATTGCAAAGCATGTAAACACTCTAATCGAGTAAAGAAATCCCTTTGGACAAATATTATTTCAATTTTAAATACAGTAAAATGTCGTGATGCTCTGTCATTAACTTTTTATCTTCTGACATTAACCTTGTATAGTTAAATTTTTTTAGAGAGTATCCATGATAAGAAGCACTTCAACTTTTCATTACCATCTCCAACAGGGTCCTTCTACTTTATTAGAGTAATTCACACAAGGCACATGTTCAGAAACACAAAAATGGATTTTTTTTTTCAGGGATCAGGATTCAAAACTGCCCAAGGAAGTACCACTGATATGATCTTATTTGGTAAACAGCAAGTGTAATGGGTGATGTCATCTATTAAACCTTCTCCTACATTTTGATGTCACAAGCATGTAATTACACAGCAATAACCACACCTTAGCAATCTTGGTACTTAATTGGAAAGCATGATAGTCATATATATATATATTCAGGTCTTTAAAATGAAGACTACCCTGAAACACCTATCTTAAAAAAAAAATTCTATCAAATATTCATTGTTTTTATCCACACTAGTCTTTTCTCCATGATTTGGAACAGTTTTGCCTTGTTCCTGTACAGCACAATGGGAACTTAATTCATGTTTATATATTATTTATGGACAACAATATGTCATTGGTATGTAAATCAATGTCAATTCAAACAAGTGTCTTCCATGCAAACAACAAAACTTAAATCCCTGCTCCAGAATAGTGAGATATAACAGAAGTGTAAAGTCTGCTTCATTACAGTGCACCTTCAGCTTATTACTTTAAAAACCAAACCAAAAAACCCCAACCAAAAAACCCAAACCACTAGGATACACAGCTAGATAATCACTACAAAGCCACTGAGAAAGTTTAAAAAGCTTTTCCTCTATCAAGTTCTAAGTATTATAGTTCTGTGGAGAGCCACCTAAAAAACATTCTTCACAGAGGAAGCACTGAGCTGGAATAAAAACAGTTGACTGAAATGATTCGTTGCAGTTTTTCAGAGTTAAAAGAAGAGCCTTTCTCCAGCTGCCAATGAAGCCTTCAACTTGCAAAACTGAGTGGCTAAACTTTACCTACTCTATAGTGAAAACTTTACTTTTCAGTAAAAAAACTTTGATAGTGAAAAAACCACTGAGAACAAAGATAAAAGCAGAGATTTAGAGGGAGACAGGGGACCACACACAGAAATAAAATGTCAAAAAGTAGCTTTAAGTCCCAACTTGTATGTGTTAAGGGTGAAACAAAAGCTTTTAAAGAGCCATCAATTTTCCAGTCAAATACTTAATCTGGATGCCAGCATTAATCTGTTTCAAGAGCTTAAAGAAAAGTAACTTGCCAGTAACTCTAGTTTTCTTAGTCTTCTTCTTCCACATCCTGCAAATGAAACAGGTCTGCTCAGCCTCCACTATCCACCCAGCCAGGAGAGAGCAGAGCTGCACTGCTCTGCCCGTGGGTACAGAGATATGAGGCCACCCCTGTCCTACAGTCACCAACTTCCTCCATGCCAGTGAAGCCTCGTCACTCAGGACAGGAAGGGAATCACAACAGCACAGCACAGAGAAACTCCAGACCTCAAACCAGTGTAAGGAACAGGGATAAATAAGCTGGAAGTGTAGCTAGGAAGTGAAGCAAGAGGTAGGGCTGCTTTTTTTCCAGAACTCACCGTTCTCCCCTTTTCAGAGCAGGTCCCTCCTCAGAGCAGGGAACTGCAGGGTGCTGTTCTGACAGGAGCCAGCCTGGCCTCGGCTCCACCTCCCATTTTTGAACCTTGTGTCAGAATCTGCTGATTCCGTTTGATCCAGATGTCATGAAAATACATCAGTTTGGCAGCAGACACCTCACTTCCTCCTCCCCAGGTGAAAGCAACAGTTTACAGTGAACAACAGCCATACAGTAGGAAGCAGAAGGGCAACATCCTCACCAACACACCAGGCTGGATGGATTAACCTCACAGGCACAGATTTCCATGGAGCTGCAGATCAATATTTTAAAAAAAGCAAAACTAAACTATTTATCTTTGTCAAAAATAAATTACCCTGGCAACTAGCCAAGTGTTTTCCTGTTCTATGGCAATCTTTTCACAGAACACTTTGGCAAATAGATACCTGACAGAACTAATGGAGGATCTGACAGAGCAGAGCCTGATGGCACACACTCTTTAACAGGTCTGTGATGAGAAGGATAAACCCAAGGTGACAGGCTAGAGGCAAGTGAGCAAAGCCATATGATCCCTGTCTCAAAATTTCACAAAATCTGAAATTCAGAGGCCTGACTACTTTACCTGATCCAGTCTCAGCAAAAGCCTACCTCCTGTACTTGAGAAGCAGCAGATGCTGTGCTGTCAAGAATTCACTGAGACCACAGGTAACATTCCCAAGAGATTCTCAAGGGGAGTACTCATTTATGATGTAAGGATGACAATTCCCCAGCCAGTGAGTCGATGCATCAGAGCCCATCCTGCACACTGACACTTGTAATCATCATCCAGCCAGGGTCAAACCATCTGCCAGGAGGATGACTCCCAGCCACGCAGCACTCCATCCCTTCACGTGAGCACGCCTCCTGGATGTGATGGGCACCCTGTCAGAAGCAGGAAACTTCTCAGCCAAAGAGATGAAATCCACCACAAGGAAAAAGGAGAGGTCTCCCTAGGGCAGAGTCATGTTCTAGAAGCGGATGTCATCAATTAATAACTGTGGAAAAGTTGTGGCTTCCTTAAGGAGTGAACTCACGGGATCTTAAAGGAGGCAGTGTGCTACTTGGGCTGCTGCTGAGAGGGCTGCAGAACTCTGAAGTGTAACTTCCCACAAGCTCAAATGCTCTGAATCTGCCTTGCTACGACACAAACCACAATACCCAAGAACAAAACTCACTGAATTTGTGGGAACATAACGCAGCTCCCTCTGGAGAGACCAAGGCCCATGCTGTTTTCATCTCAACACAGAGCTAAGGCATGGCTGCAGAATGTCCTTGTTCCTGGTAGTCATGTCCTAGTCTCAGGCTTAGAGCAGAACAAGCACATGGTGGCTTCTGCCCACCTACTGATCTGACCTAAAGGAAGGAGAGTATCCTTGGAAAGAACAGACTGAGGAGTCTGCCAAGGGCATTTCATTTTATTTTTTTAATCAGAATTTGGAATCTCAAATCCTGACATTTTTGCTGTGGAACCTGAGAGCTCGCCTGGGCTCAGAAAGGACCTCGATTCTGAACTTCATCTCCTGGGAGTACTGGCTCTACACCCCATGTCCAGACCACCCAAAAAAAATGAGAGGCAGGCATGATTAGGACCCATTAGAACCTAAAAAATTTAGCAAAGCACTATCTGAAAGATACACCGTCCATGGTGCTTAGAGGAGCAAACAGCTGCTCCTGGCACTAGCAGCTGGGGAACACGAATGCAGAATGACCTGTTTACAGCTGCTCTTGGCATCCTATTTATGGATGGCTTCCATGAGACACAGCTACACAGAACCAGCTCTAGGCCTCACTCTGTTTGTGCAAGTAATCCATCAAACTGTCAGCATCTCCTAAAGCATCTAGCTGGTGAAAGAGATTGAGCATCTGTCTTTAAAGACAGACCCGGGGAGAAAGAATCTGAAACAAACTATTCCAAACTTAGCACTCCTTTTAAACCAAGTACCTGGGGGACACTCCAGGGCAACATATGTAAGGGAAAAATGTTCAACCTCATTTATTTGCTGCAGACCAAACCCCCTCCATCAGAAGAGAGCTGGTGCTGAGCGACTATAAAGACACCAGATATTCTCCACCAGAAACTTTTCTCCTGCCATCACATTTCTCCTTCTGGAAGAATAAGATTAGGACAGGACAAGGAATCCTCACACAACTGATGCACAACATCCCACTTCTGAGCAGAGCCAGCCGAGACTGCAAGGTCCAAGAACATCTCTTGCACAATAGGTGAGAAGTCATCACCATCTTGAGCACTTGCAGGGAGAATCAACCTTTTGAGACTGAGGAGAAGGGAAAAAAAGAGGGGAAAGAGGACAAAAACCAGGGTGTTCCAACACGGATGACTCAAGCACCAAGGGCTGTGTATTTCTGCAGCAAGACACAAAGGAATCCATCAACATCAAAGCTGTACAACACAGACTTCATACTTAGAGGCCCTTTTCTGTTCACTTTTTTCAATAGAAGAAAAACCAGTTCATTTACTGCCACTGTCCTGAGCTCTTGGAATCGAAAGATTACTAAAGACCTACAGGAACAATCCATTGTGTTTTCAAGATTTCTATGGCACAGCAATTTGATTTCACAGATGAATTTGGAGTACCAACCCCTAACACCCCTAGCTAGTGTGAATGCAATTCTAATTTCCTTCTTTTCTCTGTGACATAATTATGACAAATCCTATACAGCCCACTGTCAGTCACATTGCTTCACCCTCTGTTTACTCATGTGAATGTCCAAGCAACCACATTTAAGTCTTCTTAACCCACTTGTATCTACCAGGCTACTTCCATTCCTTCAGCCTTCACGCTTCTCATCATTCTCTTCCCATTCCCATGACTCTACATTAAGCACTCTACACACACCATTGCCAGCATTTCTCATTTCACCTCTATTACAGGATTTCTGAGGAGACACTGAAGTGGAAGACACTTTTTTTAAGATGTTTGAAAGGATTTTTTTTTTTTTCCAAATAAAATACTTTGAGCATTTTATTTCACCACTAAAACCATGTAAGGCTCTTATAAACAACCACTCACCCTTATTAGTTCAAAGAAAAGTACTATTTGACACACTGCTCAAGTGTGAAGTGACTCATGTTTGCTTTTCTAGAAACAACACTGGATTGCAGAGACTTTTGGGTGCCTGTCTTGAAAGCATACTTCTACAGTAATATGTTAGAAAAACATTTTCTACTACAATTCTTCAGGATAAGCTTTCCATTAAAATAAGGAAATTAATAAAACAACAATAAAAACAACCCACAGACGATATTTCACCTTTCAAAGGGTTTTAAAAGCATTACTGCTCATGCTGCTACTGAATGACCTGCATTGTACAGAAAATGAAAGCAAGACTTGGCCACTAAAGGATTGTTACAGTAATGATAAGAAGATAACCAGCATTAAGCTTTAATAAAACCCCCTCATTTCCAAGTCTGAACCTGAATTATAATCCTTTATTTCTTCTTTTCAAAAGACAGCACTACAAGTTTTACCAACAGCAGTTTCCTTTATTAACAGCAATATATTATTAACCCCTCACCACACACACAATGCAGTTTGGAGCTTTTTTATCTTTCTTGGCACTGTGCCCCCCACTCACCCGTAACGGCATCATAAAACTCCTCTTCACTGTTCATCCTTCGGTGTGAGATCTCCCTGCAGCCAGCCCAACTTCCTCTAATGCATCGTTGAACTTGGTTTAGAGATAAGTACGTGTCTGCTGTTGAAGTCTTCTTTTGCAAATCCCCAGCTGCTTTAGATAATCTGTGTGACAAGAAAGGGAAACCAAATCAACATCTTCCCCATGTCTTACGCGCACAGACAGGCACTCTTGGCAAAGACTAATTTTCCTATTTCTTTCCAGGGTAATAGATGGGGGTTTGCATTCATAAACAGCCTTCTTTGATACCAAAGTCATTCTGAAGAGGAATGCTACCTACCATCAGAACAGCCGATGCTGCTGACTGTCACATTCCTCTCTAAAAAACCACCACATACATTACTATAAAATATATCATATTCACTGCGGGTGGGTTTTCAAGCAAGTGCAGCTAGAAGAAGCAGGAAAATGAAGGAAGAAATACAGCTGGCAAATCAAAAATCTTCCTCTTCAGCAAGAGGATCTGCCTTACCACATCCTTAACCAAGAAAGCCAGGAACAAGAGGACCTTCTATCTCAAAAATATCTCCATGCATAAAACCATCGGGCCTCACTGTACATCACACGACCCCTATCTAGTGACCGTCAGAGGAGGTCTGTCAGGCCACTGCTATGAACTCTTCAACAGACAACTGGAGATTTTCCCTCTAGAGGGAGAGTAGAGGAACAATAAATTTTTTTCTCAATAGAACCAAGCATGTTGCAAATAACTTACAGATTTAGGAAGCATTCCAGCTCTACTTTACGGACAGACTAAATTAAATCTTTCCCAGATGGTTGGCAATGGTGTAGCACAAACATTTTTATTTCACCCAATTTCAGCCTAAGGAGAATAATGAGAAAATTTAATTTCCACTCTTACAAATGTTCATCAGGTACCAAAGACAAGCCAAGTACATGATGATAAATGACACCATGGAAATACTATCGATACCTCCTCCAGAACAACCTCAATCTGTCAGTCTCAATTCTTTATGATCCTTGAAGATCTCACTGCTTTTGTCACTGTAGTTTTTCCAGAGTAATTATAACTTGCACAATTCTATTCCAATTAAGAGAAACAAAGCCAGGAGCACACTCTAGTGCTACTAGCAGAGCTTGCCATGCTTGAAGCCAATTCCTTCCTCTTCTCTGCAAGAAACCAAACTGCATGATTCCTCCTGTGTTTCAAGTCGTTTTACCTCACTGCCTGGAACAAAAGCTATTTGAACGTCTCACACACAGTCCTCCCATTCTCCATTCAGGAGGAGGAGCTAAAATAGCCTAATTTGGGACTCATTTAAGTTAATGAACGCAGTATTCGCCTTGAAGTGTTATGTCTGTCAAGGGCAGGTATTTCAGTTTGCTACTTCTCCCTTAGGAACTCCCTATTTCCTTGCCACTATGGGATGGTATATCCATCTCTGCATCATGATGAGTATCTGAGCTTCCACACAGTCTTCAGCAACTTCTTATTTACAGCTCCTCACTTCCCCAAGGACAAAGCTTTACACAGCTGCCTGACTGTTGTTGGAATTGTTCTCAGCAGGATGATTCCTCCTCTTTCTCCTGTGCTGTTCTCCTGTCCAGGACCTTTAAACCTTCTTCAGTTTCTCACCCACTTCTGTCAAAGTGCTGCATTCTCCTAGGCAAGGATGCAACAGCTCAAAGCATTAACAAGTCAGATGATGTGTATCTGAAGACTTCCAGTGCAAGGCTATCAGCAAGTGCTCTGCTTGCATAAGGGAGGGGAGCAGCCACTTCACTTCAAAAAGATACAGGAAGATCAGGCCACTAGAAACCACAGCATGAAAGACAGGGAGAAAAACCTCTTAACTAACCACTGGTTCAAGAGTAGCAGACAGCTCAGGTGTCTGGGTGAACTAAACAGCAGAACTGATAACAAATCTGTCCTGGAAGTACAAGTCAGTGTACCTGCCCCTGTGTTATCTTGCCCAGGGGAAGCAATTCTTCGACTGTGACAAAAACAGCAAAGGTGCTGCCAGTTTTAGAGTTTTGCCCAACTCTCCAGCCCCACCAGCAGTATACCTGGAAGTAGCTCTTCCAAGGTCTCCAAATATGTCATATCTATGCAGAACATCTGTCCCTCTGAGGATGCAACTATGGACACCTTTCAATAGGGGTGGAAAGTGGGAATCCAAAGAAAACTATTGCTACAGAAAACAGGAGCTTGACATCTTGGGACAACTGTTCACCCCAGAAGCCATTATCACCACCTAGAAATGACTACAGTACTTTGCCAAAAATGTTACTTGAAAGGTTCTTTAATCCCCCAAGGTACTACTGTACCCCTGAAGATGGAAGACATCCTTGAACATGCAAGACATTTATGGTTTCAGCTGTCCACAAACATTGCATCCTTTGAGGATGCAGCCAGTATTTCCAGAAGGAAACCTGTACAGGCACAAGATACAGCCCTCTCATCAGCAGCATCACAATTCCCTCATTCTCTCCATGCTTTCTTGCATCTTCCCTTTTTATGTTTAGCCTCCATTTTTTATTTAAGCTCTTACAGGAGGACTGCAACCTATTGTTGCTACAGCTGATGTAGTGGGATTCTGTTCTGAAACAGCCTTTTATTTACGTGCAACACATAACAAGGAATAAAAGAGCTAGTTCACAGCCCACCCCGTTCAGTTCAAATGCAAAGAGCACACTTTCTCCAGGTCCCTATCCAAACACAGCCACGTTACATATCACCTTATATAAACAAGCTCCAGAGATGCTTCATTAACAGCAGCTCCAGTTTTATATAGTCCTGTATAGAAGGCACTAAGAAATAAAAAAGCTATGATTAAAAAATTTGCCAGTTATCATTAAGAGCCTCAAAGTAAACAAGGTCATGCAGATGAATGCAGTTCCTCCTCTCCCCCCTCCTGCACAACTGCCAGTACAAAAGGACTCCTGGAGTGGAACCGCATTGTGTTGCAAGCAGCTCTGCTGCAAAGACAACAGAGCTTTCCTATAAAAACACCCACCAAGCACAAATGAAGTAACTGGAACCAAAGAGTTAACTGAATCCAAGAGTTACATTCTGTTCTCCTGAAACCCACCCTAAGTCTATTGCTAATTGAAAATGAAAGTTCAGTTCAGACTTTTGAACTGTCAACGAAGTTTTAAAGTTCGACCCTGTAAGTTCTACACAAGCTTTGTAGCTATTGCTTAAAGAACAAAATATTAATGGAAGTCATTTTAAATAACAGTTGCAAATCCTCCTAAGGTGCTAGGAGCATTTTTGAAAGGATAAAGGATATATATAAAAGATTTAGTGTGCACAAGTTACACTGGTAATAACTTAATACTCATAACATTTCTTTTACATTCATTTATTTTACTTGGGAGAGCTTAACATGAATTTAATTTCCATGTAGCTGAACACAAAATGGTGACAGCATTTAGCTTTCCTGAGCCAAAAACCTCAGATTCAGTCCAAAGCAACAGCAAAAAGTTACCTTCAACTAGGTTGAAATGCCAGAAGACAAAAACATCCCCTTGGCTTCATATTCAGCACTTGTACTCTCTATTTCCTACTCCATGTCCGTGAGGTAGCCAAAAGAATTCACTCACACACTAGCAACCACAGTTAACAGCTTTCACCAAAAATCCCATTCAAGAAAGGGAGCAAGACCCTTCCACCAGAGAGACCTTCAGGAGTTGAGGACCAACTGCCATCCTGGAAAATCTTTCATAAAGCATAAAGGTCCTATCAAACTCACAGCTTTTAGTCCTGCAGTGCAGGAAAAACAATAAAATACATTCAATTTTTTCTTACATACATAGTGATCGTTAGGACTGTAACAATTAGCTGTATTGGTTAGTTACTCAAGGCAGACACCCAGAAAGGTGCTTTTGCCCAGGGACCACAGCCCAGCCACATTGCCATGCTGATGAACAGACAGAGACTGTAGATAGATCATTTTATAAAATAATAGGAAAAAGCTGCAAATAGAGGCATCTTAAGAGAACTGGAAATTCATAATTTAACCATGACAGCACAAGCAGCCCAGATTTTGTGGTTTAGAAGGTAGGCAACAGAGCTCATCTCTTTCCTCCTATTTTAAGGCTGTGGATTGGTATATACTAATTAGATTTATTATGGGATTTGTGTGCATCAATAAAAACTGCTACTTTTATTTTTGTAACAGACTGATT